CAAGAGGGTTTTTCTTGAGCAAGAAGGGGCAGTGTAGACGCTCCTTCTTGCGCAAGAGCCTCTTCTGAAAAAAATGATGGCTCATTAGGTATGCAAATGAGGCTCGGCAATATTCCATGCTTAGCCTCATTTGCATATTACTCGCGCAAGAAGCTGCGAGTGTAGACATAGCCACAGTGTTTTTCTGCAGTGATAGTTTTTTTTTAATGATTTGTGCATTCATTTATCCTAAGAAACAATATAGCATGCTGTCCATTCAGAAGAATACCAAATTGCTTTACAAATGATGGCCCTGATCTTACAAATATCGAGGGGTATGTATAACTTCCTTCATGAGAATTTAGATTTTAAAGACCTACTAGGTTACTAGTCACACAAGTAAAGAAATACACATGTTTAAGTGTTTTTGCCAGCTGGTGTGAGGTGATAGTTCACTAAAAAGGTTTAAGTGCATGGAATTCCATTAATGGGAGTTCTTTGTGTGATGTATCTGCAATATTTGGTTTCCTATAGATAATGTTTTTTTAAAAAAATCACTGAAATGAAGCTAAAAAAACTTTAAAAACAACAAATGGTCCTATAGCACCTTAGAGATGAACCAAAAAATATAGATACTATCATGAGCTTTCATGGGCACAACCCACGTCATCTGAAAAAATGGGTTGTGCCCACAAAAGCACACCCAAAACAGCAGCCATAGTGTCTGAGCCCCGCCCTCAGCCCAGAGCCTCGAGTTCCCTCTGGGCCCTGCAGTTTTTATAACATGTTGTGGGGCGCCTCAGAAGGGAGAAGGCTGAGAACCCCGCAGTACTGCACTGCCCCAGAGCCGGTTTCTCAGGGCGTTGGGGGAGCACATCTGCTGCTATACCCCCATCAGTGGGTGTTGCATAATGTCCCTTCGAAACCCAGCTAGCTCTGGGTATTTACTATGGATGGGCCCAGCATGCATACTTAACTGAAGAGGACTTATCCACATGCCAACCCACAGTCACACGATAAGCAATGCCAGGACAAACAGAGCCATGACCAGATTTCTAAGCACTATGGACCACAGGTGAGCAACATAGAGCAGTCTGTTCCATACTGAAACTAACAATGCCCCCAGTTAGCTCCTGCTGACATGCCAGAATACATTTCTATTCTATTTATTCCCTTGCCCCACAGCTATTCAGTGAATACACATGAAATAGTATGATGGCTTCTTTTATATGCTTAACAGGTTTCATATGGTTATGAAATGGTCCAGGGTTCTTATATCAACATTTCCTATCTCATACTAAATATATTTGTAACCCTAGGCCAGCGATCTTAGCCTTGCTTACAATGAGCAGGCAACAAGAAAGCCTTTCAAAGGCATTTATGGAAGCCCATAAATAATGTGCCAAGCAGGCCAAACAATTAGCAAACCACCTTCAATGTCCCTGTTGAAAAGAAGGACTGTGCCTTCCAGAGATCTGAGTCATCTGTACCCTGAAAGGCTTGTTTGCACCTGCAGAATGTTTCTTGTGGAACTGCCCTCCAGCAGCTCCAACAATAGCTCTTTTACTGTTAAATCAATCTAGTCAACTTGATTTTTTTTTTTGCACTGGCTGATTCTTAATGGGTGCTTGGACAAAAGGTTTTGAACTATAGAATGATTTTCATTTAAAAAAAAAAAGAGACAGTAAAAATGTTCAATAAGGGACTTTCTACATGCCTTTGATATCCACAAAGGCCTTCTCAACAAGGGAGAGAGGACAGGTATGAGAGTAGCATTGCTAAATCTGTTTCTCCCTACCACCATCAAACACCGCTTGCTTGCCTGCCTCCTAAACAGCAATGAGTTATGGTCTCCCAATTTCACCACCCCCACCGGGTTCCCACTGCTTCCTGGCACACCACTGGGGGCTGGGGCGTGAGAAATCTTGAGGGTACTACCTCCCTCCCCTACTTTTACCACTCCCCAGCTCTGTGCAGGAGTCTGGAGAGGGAAGATAGGAACTACTATGGCCATCCTCCCAGCTGTTCTTGCTTCCTGGCTCAATGTAGAGGTCCTGGGAAAAGGAAACACCATCCTGGCACCAAATGGAGAAATAGCAGCAGCAGTTGTGTCACTGAGTTTTGGTGGGGAAAGCATGTCCTTGAGCTCCTTGCCATGTGTGCTACACGAGAATGTTCTTACTACAGTAGCATATGACTAATGGGGTCGACACTCGCCAGATCCCTGTGCCCCCAGAAGGGGCATAGCCTGAGGTGGAAGGAGTGGAGCTAGGGCTAGGCTCCCCCAGACAGCCCTTAGAGCCACTCAGAGTGCACCACACCTATCCTATGCTGCCAGGAATGTGCAGCGTGAGCCTCCGGCAGCAATTTAAAGGGTGTGAGGTTTTAGTTGCCACAGTGGCCAGGAGCCCAATCGCTGGGCCCGGAGTCAGTTGCTCCCTGTCAGCAGGCCTGCATATGACACAGGAAGTCCAACAACTCAACAAAGCCATGAAGCTGGGTGTAGACAAAAGGTTGTCAAATTCACAAAGGAAACACTCTGGGCCAAATCCTCAGCTGGTATAAATATGGAAGTCAACAGAACTACATTGGATTTAGGCAGCTGAGGATCTGAACCAATGGAAATAATTATTTCCCTGTAACTTCTTTCACTGACAGTTCAAACACCACCTATAATAGTAAGCAGGATATCTTCAGAGAGAGGTATGATTTTCAAAGTGACAGAGTCCCTATAACTAAAGAACAGCCAGTAAAGTTTTCTGCATGTTTTCCAGTAAGATTATTTATCATTTCACTGCAACAGCAATAAAATCTTACAAAATTGTCACCGGCAAGCCCTGAGTTTCAGATAAAAGAGGCTGTTAAATCTAACCAGACTGAATGTGGCTGTATGTCATGTCAGTCAACAATCTTTCAAGTATTCTAAAATATGCTTACAAAAGAATGTTAAACATCTGTTGGTTGTGTGTGGAGAGGTTGTTTTGCTTTAATACAGAATCCTTATTCATTCTAAACCCAGGAGAAATCAGCTCCTCAGTAGATTTGGACCACAGTACATCATCTGATGCGGCCACATACACCTAAACTTTGGCTAATTGCTGATTTGGGTCTCAGAGCTCAGTGCCACCACAATATAACACCACCACAAAGTTCAAATAGCACTGAACTGGGGAAGTTCACATTCTGATTATAGACTTGGACCTACTTCTGCACTGCAGCAGATCTGGTCATGAAAATCTCTAGCTACTTTTTGAGTCAGTATTTAAAAATATTGCTAAACTTTAAAACACGCACGTTCAAATCATGGCAAAAATTCCATTAAACTTCCTACTACCTTACTAGAGAAATCTCAGTGAGAAACCGGACTGTGGCCAAAAGGATATTCGAGGTCATATTTTCATCTTGCTTTGGTATACTATAAGGGATGTTTTTGGAAAATTCTTACATATTGTAGAGTCCTATTTCCCTTGCACTTTCTTTCAAACATGTTTGTGAATCATGGCTTGGCTCTTCCAGTACCCTGGCCATTACCAAAAGCTTTAATATTTCTTATTAAGGCTCCAACCCTGCAGTTGCCTCTGTATGGGTGGACTATTGGGCTTGAGCAGAGCCAATTGCAAGATCAGAGCCTAACGGTCAGGTCCTCTAAAGCATTTCACTGAAGTTAGGCACCTAAATACATTTAAGGACCTCGGCCTAAGTCATCATCACCGACCACCAGAAAAGTGAGCCTTTGGAACTAGAAGAGAAATACCACTTTGCTATGTAACTTTCCATTAGCACAGCAGGGACACTGCTTCAACCTGCTGCAGAATATCTTGCCTGGCTTCCACAAAGCCAGAGATATACCATAATTTAACGAATATAACCACCTAAATACATTTAAGGACCTCGGCCTAAGTCATCATCACCGACCACCAGAAAAGTGAGCCTTTGGAACTAGAAGAGAAATACCACTTTGCTATGTAACTTTCCATTAGCACAGCAGGGACACTGCTTCAACCTGCTGCAGAATATCTTGCCTGGCTTCCACAAAGCCAGAGATATACCATAATTTAACGAATATAACCACGGACGGAAGGAGGGGGGGAAAGAAGGGAGTGAGTGCTCCCCCGCCCGGAGGATAATGGTTCCTGCTCCCCCGCCCCTTCCTGTGCCTGCAGAGGAACCAGGGAGATGAGTGCTCCCTTGCCCGGAGGCTGGAGGCTGGAGGCTGCGCAGGAACCGGGGTGGTGAGTGGCTGGCTAATTCCCCGCCCCGTAAATTAGCAAATATACCCCTGGCAAATATACCCCCGGCACAGAAAAGTCTTGTATGCCTCTTGCATAAGTATAACCCATGGGGTATACAAGATTTTTTTTACTGAAATAGAAAAAAAACGCGGGGCATATTCGGGTGCGGGTTATATTTGGATGCAGGGTATATTAGCTCAATTACGGTAATCAGCTCGAGTGATTATGAAATATTACTTTGCTGACATCAGTCTCTGTTTCCCTTTGAGAAATAGTAGAGATTTCATTTCTCATTTTTTGTTGCAACATTTCATTTCTGCTAGGCTGCAACTGCACAAATGCTTCTGCTTTGGCAAACAGATTGGTAAATTAAGCAAAGCAACAAATGTAAGGAATGCATTACTGCGAGAAGAAATCTTCATTGTTTTAAAGCAGGGATGTCAGTGGTTAACTGGTGGCCCAGCCAGGCTGGAGCAGCTCTTCACCTACCTATAGTGTGATGCATTGGGACTGGCCCAGCTGGAGCAGACTAAAATATGGGGTGTAGAGGGGGTGCTCCATCTTGGCTGGGCCCATCACACCATGGGTGAGAGGAGCTTCAGCCCAGCCGGGCCCCCTGCCTATCCCCGTTTAAGTGATTAACCAGTTAATCAGTTAACCAGTCAAACATCAGATTAAGTGGGATTTTATATCCCTGTTCCAAAGAGAAGTATAACTTTCAAGACCATGAAAATCCCTTTCTGAATTCAAATGAACTCTGATAACTATATAAAATATCAGGAGTCTTACCAGGCACTTTTGAAGGATATGATTTTTTCTCCAAGTTTCTGTCTTTACTTTTGGATTCAGGAGATTTAGTAACTTTTTCTTGCTTTTCCACGTTCACATTACTGTTTGCAATAGTTACATTTTGCAAAACAGGCTTCCTAGGCAATGGAGGTTTTGTGCTAAGCAGTTCAGAGGACTTTGTTTTAGATTTTATGCTGTCATTCCCGGAGCCACTGATATTTACATCAGCTGTTTTTTTGACTGATGCCTTTTCAGCTTTTAGAAGTGACGCCAATCCCTCTTTTTCTAAATTAATCTCTGCACTGTATCTTTTAAACCCCGTTGATTCTGGTGAAGAGCTGTCTCTGTATTTCAAGGATAGTGAAGTAGATCTAAGTTTTACTCGAAAAGGACTTTTATCTTCACAGTCTGGTTGGCATGGGGATACCACAACAGAGCCACTTTGCACTGGAATTTCACCAATGGCCTGAGAGACACAGCTAGCCACCATATTGTCTGCTGCTTTGCCCATGACCTCGGAGTCAGAATCTGCCAGTGACACCTGCTTTTTGACATGATTGTTTTCCTCTTTTAGCTCCGCGCCCACCTGCACATTGTCTTCCAGCTTCTCATTTCTTGAGAAGAGCTTTGTTTTTGGGAGGGGTAATTTGGTATTTAATGAACTTTCAGATTCTGAGTTTTCTTTCAGGTTAAGGCTGCCAGCCCTGGGTCTCTCCCAGGCTGATGACACTGAAAATTTTCTCAAGACACTGAGTTCATTGGCAGCTTTCTCCATTTTTTTCTCCAATATTGCCTCCCCGGGTGCCAGAGACTGACTGTTTTCCTTGTCAGAGGTGGCTGGTTCTTGACTGAGCTTAGTTTGCTCCAGAGCCCAGGAAGCAGGTGACCCCAGCTGTGATAAAGCAGGCAGTGGAATATCAGAGGAAACACAGGGTGAGTCTGTGAGCTGAGAAGATCCTTCAGGTAATTGCTTGCCAGAAACTGGCAATGCAGCAGACTCCTTCATTGTTTCCTTGTAACAGGATGTTTCCATGGGTATTTTACTACCCTCCTGTATATATTTTTCTGGCCCTCCCAAACAAGAAAAACTGCCAGTACTGGTTGAAGTGTCCTCTTTAGACAGCAAGTTATTCAGGGACGACCCAGGAAGAAACTGTTTATTTTCTTTATTTAAAGTATTAACTGACACCTCACATATGTTTTCAGTGGACACACTCAGAGATCCTGAGGGCTCTTTTCCCCTTCGTGTCTCTCCATCTGGAGACAGAATCAGGGTTATTCCATTTTCTTTAGGTTCTAAAGGAGAAGGATAATCTGACTCAGACTGTGTTAATGCCAGCATAGTTTGGCAGCCCGCAGGATCATTCTCAAGTAACAAGGCTTCCTGTACAACAGCAGACTCAGAAGCAAACTGCCGTGTGGGAGGCCTTTCGTCTCCATGTCTGGAACTATGGGGAAAATCTTCAGGCATTTCAGATCTCTGCCAAGAGGCCACATCACTTGTCACAGCTGTGCTGTGTGTCAATTTCTGATAGCTGGTGGTGAAGATTTCGTGTGTCAAGTCTGTCAACATCTCTTCCCCATCATTCTCCTCTTCTTCTGGGGTGCAGCTCAAGTCATTCAGAGACTCTGATTGTGTCCGCTACAAAGAACAAACAATTATTACAATTTTATTATTTCTTTATAATATCATATATTTTAATCTATTTATTGTTTAGTGTGTGGCAGATTCCACAGTCTGGCAACTGCTTTCCAAACAGAGGGGAAGACAGTCCCTGTCTTGAATTCATAGCTAATCTACTATACATTTTAGAGAGAGTTTGTCTGTCTGTCTCCTAAATGGTAAGAGCTATGACCACCAAATATAGTATACAGTTTCCTCTCATCATAACTTAAAGCAACATAATTGTTTTGTTTGTGCCAGAACAATGGGATGTGCCTAGAATGGGATTGCTTTTCATAAAACCAAACAGAAAACAGAGTCACTAAAGAAAGTACAGTCCTCAAAACTGACATAACTGAGTGAATGTTGAAAGAGACTGAATCAAGCCAGAAAAATAGGATGAACCAATTGTTTCTCAATAAACCTTACAGAAAAGAGAAAAAGCACAGAGAAATTTGCAGTAGTGCTCTGTTTGGCACTACTGGGCAATGCTAGGTAAGTCTGCTAGTTAGTTTATATTTAAGCACTATATGCTCACTTCCTTGTATTATAATTGGCAAGCTGTATTATATGAGTAATACATTTCTAATCAAACCATCAAGCAATCAAATTAAGATGTCATTTCTTACCCCTACATAATTAACCTCTTTGATGCCTTTATATCCGTAGCCAATATTCAGCAAAGCAGGCACTGTAGGACTCTGGGGACAAGTTTTTGGGATTGGATTCACCAATGCAATTTGTCTACATTGTGGTGCTCTAAAGGCAAAAGAAGCAACTACATCCTGCCATTACAAATCAAACACACCCTTCTTTGTAAGACCTGACCTTTGAGTGGCAAGTCTATGCAAAGGGAAGAGCAAAATAAAAGTATTAAGTAAGATCACAGGGCAACAATTGTAAGATAATGCACAGCAGATGGTATTATTTTTGGTCAAATTGTGGCACACCCTTGCACTCTTTTGTAGGTTGTGTTTGAATTTCTGTGTTCTTTCAAGTACAAATATTTCATGGCAGCTTATAAAGCATCTATTTATTTGGGGGAGGGCTTTTTGATAGTGCATCAGATAAGTTTTTGCAAATACGTACTTAGGACTGGCTGAATATTTAGGATTATTTCAAAAGCTTTTTTATTAACATGTAGAATATGTATTTTTGTTCAGTGTCTTTGATTGCTTACTGAACCATTGTCCTCTCTTGTGTAAATCCATATTACAGATGTAGGTACTAATTCGAGGAATACAAAGCCTGCATTCTAAAGTGAATTATGTCTTACCCTGCTCCCAGTTTTGCAAACTACAAAGTAGCCATGCTATCTGGTATAAAAGTTTGTCTATGCCAAATAAGGGTCCAGTAATATAAAAACTATGTGTAGATCAGTACAGAAGTACTCAGGCAAAGCTGTATGAGGAAAAATTACTAGTGGTAAGATCTACTGAACAGTATAAGAGCTTTCTAAAGGAAATCATGGAGGCTCCATCTCTTTTGTCATTTAAGACAGGACTGGACAAAATAATAGTGAATATACTTTGGCGACACTCCTGCACCAGCAGAAAAGAATAGATTAGATAGACCTTTGCACTGGTACTTTTCATACTTCTCTGATACAGTCTCCATTGTCATTACGCATAGTTCGAGACTGCTTTTTCAAGCACAAAAGTTGCTAACTGTTTTTGAAAAAATAACATTCTTTTGATATCATAGTTGGGGAAAGTGATATTTATGTCTTTAAACAAGACAATTTGACTTTTTTTTTACAAAAGAGGTTCAAAATATCCAAATACACTAATGCAAATCATGTATTAAAGAGCTTGTACAATTTTAATTAAAAGCATCATGATTTGAGACAGAATCAGAAAAGGGTGTACTAAAATGGCTGTCATTTTGCTCAGCAAAACTGCACTGACAGAATTTTTTTGTGAGGGCATATATTTTGCTCAGTTTTCCACCTTTACTGGTGAAGTCACACAAGGGTTATATGACCAGATTGTTGTACAAGGCAGATTAAAATAATTGATGTCCCCAAGAACCAGAACTTGGCTCCAACAGATAGCCCACCTGATCTCTTATTTGTGTGCTTTCTAAAGATAAAATAGTCCAATTGGCTTGGTTTGTTTTTTTTAAGCCCCATAACAATTTTTTTCTAAGGGTCAGATTTGACAGACCCAATTTCCCTCCAGAAAAATAGGTTACACCCAAGCTATGTTCTGTTTTTTTTAAAATGAGTAACACATGCTAGTAGATCCTCAACTTTATCACCGCCTCACTGTTAAACACTGCATAACACCTCATGGGAAGTTTAAAAAGAAATATGGCCATAAATCCCTATAGCAAGAGAATTAACAAATAATCCCTTCTCACAATGTGCAGCTTGGACATTGCTCTTAGGGGCTCTTTTCCAGATTCATACACAACACTCATTAAACGTTAGTGATTAGAAAGCAATGAAATATCCACTCACAGCTCTGGCACTACTTAAGTGCTTATAGAGGCTGAAATAAGAATGGCAAGTCAAGTAAGAATGTGTAAAAGTTGAACCTCTGAAATCCGGGACCCTCTGGTCTGGCAACATCCATAGTCCAGCAGGACCGCAGATGTTGCTGGATCAGAGAGCCTCAGAGCCTGTGAGCATGAACGGGATGGAAGCCCCAGCAGTGAGGCAGCTAGCAGCAAAAGCAGGGCAGCTGGCCAGCTCTGTCCTTGGGGATCCCGGTGGAGCACAGCCAGTAAGCACTGTCCACGGGTACGGTAGAAGCGGGGCAGCCTGCAAGCCTCATCCCCGAGGATTCACGGGCGGGGAGGGGAGAGAAGTGGGAGCATCCCCAGGGAGCTCCAGCAGGCCGGAGTCCAAGTCCAAGACCTGCAGGCTGGAGCCCAGTGGCAGTGGTGCCGTAGCAAAACCAACTGCAGGAGGGGAGAGCATCCTGGGAGGCTGGTGGCAGGGGTCCACACTACATCTGGCAAATTTTCTCATTCAGGATGGGTCAGGTCCCCAGGATCCCGGATAAGGGAGATCCAACCTGTCGTTTAAAGTCAGTGCCTAGTTTTCCATTTGTTTTTATAGTTACCGAAGGAAGTCTTCTCATTTTACTAGATCTCTGGTTCCGCGGTTTGATTGAAAGCTTGTGTCTAGCAGCAGAATTATCCAAGCAAGTAGCGAAATCAGGCGGAGAATCAAAATCAGCTGCAGGTGAGCTGCTGCTATCAGATGTTTGGGGAGACAGAGCTTTAGCACTTGAATGCCTATGGAATAGTTGGCCTTCTGTAGAGCAGGGCCTAGAAGAAGGAACTGATATGACCTAAAAAAAAAAAATCCCAAAAGAGAACATTAAACATAGAAACCGAACTACGAAAACAGGTATTTATCAGAGACAAGACTTGTTTACTTGGGTCTGTTTGGGTTTTTTTTTACTTCTATTTCAATTGCACTGCAATTATTAGTTTTTGCTAAACTGTGATAGCAGTTTTCTATGTTAACAGTTACTTAGAATCTTTTCCAATAGACACACTTTATTTCAATAGTCAAACTGTTGAATTGCAAACCTACAACAAATGAAAAAAAGTGTCAACACATTTGAGAAAAGAAATTATGAAGAACTTCAAAGGCCAATCCTCCTGTGTTAGCTCCCTTTCTGACTCCTGCCTACAATGCTAGAAGACTTACAAGTCCCCTTCCAATCCTACATCCCTCGCTAAGAAAACAATGTCAAAGGTTAGTGTCCCCAGTATTTAATCAATGTGTATTTTTTCAGTTTATTTGCATTTGGTAAATCAGTGAGTTTTTTCTCCAAACAGAATATTTCACACACACACACCCCACTCCCTAAAATAAAATATCATGGCCTGCTTGCAGCCTGGAATTTCTAACCAATACAACAATCTATTCATAAATAATTTGCTGCCATATTTAGGACTTGGTACTTTCCTGCCAGAGGAGTTCAACTTTTCAACCTTCCATATATGTAATGTGCAAGTTCCACGGTTTATGCATACTTCTCAATGTCCACTCAGATACGAAATTAGGATCATCTTACAAAATGAATTTTTAAAGTAGTTTTTCTCTTTCAATAATTAAATTCTTCAAAATAAGAAAAAAGGATATTGCCAAGGTATCAGTCTTATCTATCACCATTCATAAGAGCCACGTGGCAGCTTGAAACTGAAATATATTCCCTTACTGCAGTTTTTACCTTCTTTGTGCTTTGTGATTTTACCCGAGTATGCTTGGCTACTGCCTGATATATATTTTTTTCTCTCAGATAAGGGTAGTGAAATATTTATTTTGCTTATAGAGAAATATCAACATTTGTGCAAAAGATTCCTGTGTTATGCCCTGCAGCCAAATGGCATTCTTTTATATATAAAGGATCTGTTCCAGCTCCTCTTGAAATCAATGGAAAAACTTCCACAGACTTAGTTTTAACTAATTTGAACTGAAGTTCTCTCTACAATATCTGCAATTTACTATGCATACATGACTAATGTATAACAGTGATATATGGGTACATTACACAATAGTAACTTACAGCGAATAACATTGACATTTCAGCTCTTTGATAAAGGCACAGCACCTGTTCACCTGAAGGACTAACAAGACTGCCTGGTGCCCCTTCTCCCTGCCCCTTCTTGATCACTTGAGGTCAGACCTGACATACTACTAACACTGAGCTTTAGATCAGAACACTATAGAACAGTTTCTGTCATTTCATTTACAATTCAGCATTTGAGTTGAGTGCCACGCATATGTTTGCTGCAGACACGGTATGCCAGGTTATGGCTGCCTTGTGTGCACGTATAGAAAGGGGGAGAAGTTTGAGAGAGCCCTTTCCAAGCAGAGCACACTGCTAGGGGACAGCCATCATTCCACTGGCTGCACAGAAAAGACGTAGCCCTTGAGAGGAGCCAACCTCAGAGGGGGAGTATCTGGTAGCAGTAAAATCAAGTCACCACCTTCCCACTTCAAACAAACAAAGCTCTCTTGCTGTGAATGGAGAGAGGATGATTCAGGCTACATCTTTTTCAAAGTGTAGCAGGTCCTGTTGCCCATGTACCGGGAATTGGCCCAAATACATTTACAAAGTATGTACACCTGTTTTCAGCCCCCCTGAACCATCAGCGTTATCTAATTTTTTTATAAAAAGAGTTAAAATTCCACTTTGCTCAGTTAAAAAAAGCATTTCATTCTGTTGATAAGGAGTTTTAACTGTTTATGCTAGCACGACAAGGATTAAGAAAAGCAAACAGCTATAATATATACAAAAACTTGTTCTTGCAACAAACAGAAAACAAAGTAACATATTTATGCCTTACATTCCTTAAAAGACTAATATATATGTTGCTTGCTCCTTGATACATTTGGTGGAAGTTACCTGTTCTTCTTCTTCACTGCCTGTTCCAGCTAAACTCAAAGAGCTAGGATGCTTGTGAGAGTCAGAGAACTGTGGGATGGAATGAGGAAGAGATTCAGTAAAAGACGACAAATGAGATGGGTTTCTAACAGAAAACTTCTACACATAATACTAACAGAGATACTGATGATCTAAGCTACTGTCCAGTATACAGTTTTCTAAGAATTAGTGAGGAGTTTACAAACATAAAAGACGCAGGAAAAGAATGAAGGATTCATTAAATACTACATCACAAAATTACCTTTTAAAAATAATTACAAATTCTTGAAAGTTTCTTCTTCTTCCCATGTTGGGGGACACGGAGTTCAGAGTGAGAGACTCTGCTTTTACTGACTGATTCAGGAAAAACTACGGATTTTTCCATCCATTTATTATTTCCTGGCTGTTCTCCA